TTTAAAGACCAACTCAAAAGTCACCTCCTCACAGAAACACATCCCCCTCCCCTTCGCCCCCACACACACATCCTTCCCACTGATAAAGGCAACACCTTTAGAAGATGAGTTAAGAAAGCCCAGCCTAGAAGGCAACTGGTAGGATTGCTAAACTCAAGCCATTGGCAAGAAAGACCCAAGAAACTCTGGTGTGTGATCTAGCCTCCACACATGACTTTGTTGGGGTGGGGGTGGGGGGCTGGGAGGCAAAGAATTTAGAGTGAGAAGGGACTTTAAAGATCTTTTAGTCTGACCCTCTTTGCCCACCCCACCCCCCATTTTACAGAAGATGTAGAATGCTTATCCTGCATCAAGGTATATATATCATAGCTATCAATGCTGGAGGCCTATCTGTCTACTAGATCATAAGCTTCCTAAAGACAGGCACTCTGTTTTGTTTCATTCTTTATCTAGTCCAGAACCCAGCATAGGGTCCCCACGCACAACAAACACTGAGATGTTTGCTGAATTAATCCATACTTCCCAGAGCAGGCCCCGTTAACCAATTAATAAGCATTCATTAAACACCTACTATATGCCGGGCACTGTGCTATATGCACAGGATAGAAAGAAAAGAAATAGTCCTTGCCCACAATGAGCTTACATTCCTCTAAGAGAAAAAATAGGCACATATGTATAGATTTACATGTAGATAGAAATAGATATGTATGCATGTATGTATGCATATAGTATCTCCACAGTTCTCTCTCCCACACCCACATAAACTCAAAATAAAGGTGTTTCTGCTTTCAGTACTACCTTTCTGTATTGTACCTTGCTTGAAATTGAATTCAGGCTTGTCTCAGAAATTGTGAAATTCAATGTAGCTATATATATGTGTGTATGTACACTCACATACATATGTGTGTGTATATATACACACATACATGCAACACTTTCCATTTACCTCTCCTACAGAGGCTATAAACACTGTTACTGTATCTTTAAGAAACAATGGAATTGGGGCAGCTAGGTGGCACAGTGGATAGAGCAGCAGCCTTGGAGTCAGGAGGACCTGAGTTCAAATACAGCCTCAGACGCATAACACTCACTAGCTTTGTGACTCTGGGCAAGTCATTTAACCTCAATTGCCTTACCAAAGGACAAAAAGAAAGAAAGAAACAATAGAATTTTGGATAATGACAGTCTGACAGTTATTCTATGAGGAATACATGAGGAGACCTAGAGTTTAACTGTCATTCTGGAGAAATTGTCTGTTGAGACAGTTGAAGAGATGACAAAGAAAAAAGGACTAGGAGAGTTTCTATCTGAGAGAATTGCATTTAACCCTTATTTTGTAAGAAGAGAAGTCTTGAAAACAGATTTGAATTGGTATTCTGAGAATACTGAATGGCGCAGGATGTTCTCAGAGTTGAGGAGAAGGCAACAGTTGTAGTGATGATCCCCAACTGACTTTGACTGTGATCTCTCACAGCCGATATATTATAAAGAATTATTTGTCATTGTTTTGTCGTTTGTTACACTGTTAATAAATTGGTTTTTGTTCATTCTAGGGTGCTGGGGGAGATAGATAGACAGATAAATAGATAAGCAAATTCTTAAGGGAAAAGAGTTTATTAAATATCCCACATAAATCTAAGGAAATTAGGTGAGGAGAGGTGATAATATCTAGGCAGGAATACTAAAAGCTTCGTTTAGAAGGCGACTCCTGCCCTGAGTTGTGAAGAAAGCTCCCTTGAGAATCTGCAAGACAGCTAAGGAGATACACGCAAAGGTGCCGAGATGGGAGTTAGCATGCCCTATGAAAGCAGCACCAAGCAGGACCTACCTCCTTTTCTTTTTTCCTGTTCTGACCAGCAGCGAGGCAAGTCTCCTCCAAGAGCTGTCTTTCTCAGACTCACTTGCCACTAGGTTCATTGGCTCAGCAGAGATAGAAATAGAGGGGAGAAATGCCTCTCTGGCCCCAGCCTCATTCCCTTCCTACTCTCAGATTGTTCATCATGACACCATCATTATTCCCTTTCCTCCCTAGGAGAATGGGTCACCAAAATTCTCTTTCAATAGAGCAGTACAACAGAAAGAAAGAAAAAAAATTCACACTCACTAGAAAAAACCACCAGGACATACATCCCCACCCCCACCCCCAAGAAAGTGTGGGTCAGGGCTTCTAGAGGTGGGGGACTTTTCTTGGCCTAGGTCTTTTACCCAGAAACTAGAGAAAGTTTCCCCACTGCATAAAGGCTTGAGAGTATCTCCTAATCTATATCTGGAAGTTGATCTTGTCCAAAGTCTTCAGTCCAGCCCACATCCTCTGCTTCTAGATGCAGGACTCGCCCAACAGGCATGTACCAGCTTCCTGGGGAAGCACTGGCCATCAGAGCACCACTAGATGTTTTTGTCAAAAACAAAGAAGCCTCAGCAAATATCTATTAAGCAATAATAGCCCTGCCCTCAAGGTTTCTCCCTCAATTAGATGAGAGGTGGTCAGAAGATAGGATTTCTAAGGGCCCTCCTAGCCCCAAATGCCATGATCAGATTGAGGATCACAAATTTAGAGCTGGGAGGGACTGGACAGAATATTTAGTCTCATCTCTTCATTTTTCAAGTGAGGAAACCGAGGCCCAGAAAGAGGAAGTTTATTAAGCACCTACCATGTGCAGTCCATGCCCTCAAGGAGCTCACAGTCTTTATGGGGGAGACAATATGCAAAGAAATATATACACCCAAGCTATATATAGGGATAAATGGAAAGTAATCCACCAAAGAGGGCTGGCACAGTGGGTTAGAGTGCTGGGCCTACACTCAGGAAGAACTGAGTTCAAATCCAGATCCAGACATTTACTATCTGTGTGACCCTGGGCAAGTCACTTACCCTGTTTGCCTCAGTCTCCTCATCTATAAAATGAGAAGGAAATGGCAAATCTCTCCAGTATCTTTGCCAAGAAAACCTCAAATGAGGTCACAAAGAGTCAGAAAGGCTTCAGGTAGAAGGTGGCATCTTCACTGGGATTTGAAGGAAGCCAGGGAAGCCAGGAGTGGCGAAGAGGAGGGAGAGGGCAGGCCTCGGAGATGGTCAGTCAGAGAAAATACAGGAAGACAAAACTTTTGTACCTCCTAGCCTAGTCCCCATCCACTCCGGAGGGACGATGGACATCAGCAAACCCGGAGGATGCCCTGGGGCCACTGAAACTGCTCTCTCAGGCCAGGCTGGAGGGGCTGAGCAAGGGGAAGACTAGAGGCCCCATTACAAAATCACTCCATCATTGCCTCAGGCTTCCATGTTTGCAACTGCTCTAAGAAGTAGAGAAGGCAGCTAAGGTCCCACTGCCAAGATTCTACAAAGCAGGAAACGCGAGCCAAGTGGCTGCCCTGGAGAGCACCTGAGGAAGTCTCTGAGCCAGGTCTCCCGACATCAGGCCCCCAGATCTTTCCAGCTGCCTCTCAGTCTGTATGACTTTGGGCAAGTCACTTCCCTTCTCAAGAAGCCTCAGTTTCTTTATGGCTTGAATGAGGACGTTTGGACTCAATAAGTTCTGAGTTAACTCTAGCACTATGGACCTGCCATGATGCAAAGGTCCTGTGAGAAAGTGTACTGAACTCCCCAGCTTCAATGTCTTCAATGAGATGACCATCAAATAGTGAGGGAGAGGCAATGAGGTCTAGTGGATAGTGGAATCCGGAAGATGGGGGTTTTTAAGTCCTGCTTCTGACACATCCTGACTCGGTGACCCTAGGCAGGTGCCTCAACCTCTCTGGGCCCTAAACAACTATCTAAGACTAGACTGGAAAGGAAATGCTGATCTGCACAGGTAGAGGGAATTCCTTTATGCCACACCAGGAGCTCCTCACAAGGATAAAGCCACAGGTCTGGACCAACCCTATCCCCACCCCCACCCCACCCCCACTCCCACCCCCAATAGTGTAAGAAATAATCATAGAGAGGAAGTGAGCCTGGTGCAGCTGGCCCCCTCAGTCAGGAAGACCTGCGTCTAAGAGTTTGCCTCTCACACATGCTACCAGTAAGACTGAACTCTGATTCCAAGCCACAAAACCTTTCAGTACCCCAGTCTCTTTCTGTCTCTGTCTGTCTCCGTCTCTCTCCCTCCCTCCCTTTCTCCTTTTCTTCTCCCCTCTTTCTCTCTTTCTCTCTTTCCCTTCCCTGGCCCTTCTCCTCTTCTCTTCCTCTCCTCTCCTCTCTCCCTCCCTTTCCCTTTTTCTTCTCTCTTTTCCCCCTCCCCTCTTTCTCTTCCTCTCCTTTCTTCTCCTTTCTGCAATACCAGACTTAGGATTTCATTGGGATTCAGAACTCTATGAGGTGTAGGGGGGGGGAGGAGGGACAACTCTCTAAGACGCTAAGTGACTGAGGACTCACAACTAGTATTGGCTGAAGGAGTTCTCGTGTTGAGAATTGGGTCAGGGCCATACATTAACCATGTTATGATTCCCGGGATTATGGCGCTATGAACTCGACAAAGCGCTTTCAAAGGGCTGGGATGGAGGGGGGGAGAGACGCCGCGGGGGGTGCTTCCTTTGTATTCCCACTTCTTAGCACAGTGTCTGGCACCAGGTGAGCTAAATGCTTGTTGATTGACTTGCCGACTTTCCTTACAAGAACTCTCCAGGCAAAGTAGTTCGAGGATTATAATTCCCATTTTGCTGAGGGAAAACCTGAGTCCCAGAGAGGGAAAGTTCAGTACCCGAGGGCACACGACCACACTCCGAGTTGTAGGGCTGGGACTGGCTGAACCTGCTCGCCCAGTTCCCTGGGGTGCCTTCCTGTAGAAAGGCGTTCGGTGCCTCCGGTGGAGAAAGTGCAGGGTGGCCCAAGGAAGGCCGGGCTGGGAGAGCGACAGAGAAAGTAATCAAATGGCTCAGAGTCTGAGTGAAGGACGGCGGGGGTCTGGGGCTGGGGCGCCCAGGGGAGCACGCGGGAATTTGGTGGGGGAGGAGATGGGGCGGACCCAGCCGGGGGGCGGACCCAGGCGGGGACCGGCCTCTCCCACTGCCTCGCCTCTGCTACTTTCATTTTCTGCCCTCTGACAGCCATGGGGGGCAGCAGCCTTCTGGACCTCCCGCTTCTGCTTTTTGTGAGTAAGACACTCGCCCCTCTTTGCCTTACGCAAGCCTTAGGGGGAACGTTTGGAGGGCTGGGGAGCCCTCCCGGGACCGCAGGCTGCGGGCCCCCTCCGGGACGGCCCCGGTCTGGGAGGCTTCCCTGAGTGGCCAAGGGATGCCACGGGGTCCCCCCAGGAAAGCCTGGAAGGGGATGGGGGGGTTGGACTTTCTCGAGAATTTCCCTAGCCCCGGGGAAGTGTGTAAATGCCCACCGCCTGTTGTGGCCATTCTCCGTGCCTGGGCTCGGGAGCCAGTGCTGTGGAGGTCGGGGAAAGCTGGGAAACTCCCCCATCTGCTCTGCAAGTGTGGGACGTGGGCCTGGGGAATGCCAGGGAGAGGCTGCACCGGTTTGTGGGAGGGCTGGGGCTGGCACACGAACAGAAGGTGCCCTGGCTGCGCTCGCCAGGGAGGGGGCACGAGAGGCGGCCCACAGCTGGCATGCCCTTACATGCCCGCGGGGCAGGAGGTCGAGGGCTCGTTCCTGAGTTGTTGACATCTCCTTGGTTCCGGGAAATCAGATTTTGCGAAGAAAGATTAGAACTTCCCGGGACAAATCACTTGTTTACAGCCTCAGACCGAACTGACAGCCAAAGTGACCTTCCCGGCCAGGAGCCCCGCGCAGCACTGGACCGTGGGCCAGACGCTTCCTTAGACCCTCCCTGCCTGCCAGGCGGGACGTCCCCCTTAGGGCTAAGTGCTGTGCGTTGGCAGGTCGGGTCCCACCGCCCCTCCCCAGCCCCCTTCAATCTTATATTTATTAAACAGCTAGTCTGGGGGCGTCTCCGTTACCTAGTCTAAAACTTCTTTGTACCCAGCGGTTTATATGATGTTTCGCCAATAGATTGTGACACTCCCCCCCCCCCCACCCGCAGAGGCTATCTTCTGCCTTTCTATGAATCTCGAGTGGTTTAGGGAAATTCCTAACCAATAACAGGTACTTAATAAATGCCTGAGGCATCTTAGATGGCCCTATGGATGGAGTCCAAGCAGGTTCTTGAGTCAGGAGGACTGGAGTTCAAATTCAACCTCCTACGTTTATTAGCAGTGTGACCCTGGGCAAGTCACTTCCCCCTGTTTGCCTCCGTTTCCTCATCTGTCCAATGAGCTGGAGAAGAAAATGGCAAACCACTCCAGTATCTCTGCCAAGAAAACCCCAAATGGGATCACAAAAAGTAACAATAGCAAATGCTTGTTGGATTGACACCCAGGCTGGGTGATGGGAGTCACAAGTTGGGAGAATGAACTAACCCCTACTGGCAGTAAACTTGCTTTCTAAGTGGAGAGATAAGTTTGTATACACATGTGTTGTCGTTATGTCAGTAGACAGATAATATAATATAAATAGATGATATTTAGAGATAGAGAGATCATAAATATGTACGTACGTATGTATCTGTGTATGTCTCTGCAGGGTAGCTACAAAGTTAATAAATACAAATAAATCCCAAGGAATTCAATACAGGCCCTAGTCCTAGATACACAAAGTAGGGCTGAGTAGAGATCTAATCCTGCTAGGGCACTTCACGCACCCTTGATTGGTTGCTGAGGGAGGCAAGGCACAGGAGTTGGCCCAAGTCTGGACGTGGCCTTCAGGTTCCTTCAGCCCTGTGATTGTGCAGAGGACACAGCTCCAGAAAGGGGTCTTGCCCACAGGAAATCCCACAAGTAATAAGAGGAAGAGTCAGGATTTGAACCCAGTCCCTTTTACTCTGCTGTACTTTAAGGACAGCTCCTAGAACCCTGGAAGGAAGGAAGGAAGGAAGGAAGGAAGGAAGGAAGGAAGGAAGGAAGGA